TAATAAAATAAATAATAAAATACAATATCGGAATAATAAACTAATAAAATAATAAACTGTTCTATAACAATACCTTTTTTGGCTTTACTTCAGTAATTTTTACTAATTTCTAGTATTTGAAGCATATAGCTATCTGACTTTTATGAATTTTAGGTCTTCGATAGCTGATATGCTCTATTTTTGGTCTGTGATTTTCAAAATATGTTCTAATACTTCCTTGTTCAAATAAACCAAAAAGACAGTATATATAGAAGATACTAGGTCTTTCTCTAGAATGTAATTCTTGCAAATCATCTTTTATACGAATAGCCCATTGTTGAGGTGTTTCATGGGGTCTAATAATAGCTAAATCGTTGTATTTTTTTTCTAGTTTGCATATATTTTTAACATGATTATAGTTATAACTATTACCTTTTGCTAAATCTTTTATTATATGATCCAAATCATATCCTGGACGGAGGTTAACAGGTTTATTATAAACCTCATCAATAATGATTGTAATTGAATTGGTCATATTTATTAACAAATTAGTGTTTTATCGATTTATAGCATTTTTTTGCAATTTATAGCATTTTTAGCGATTCTTTATCAACCTATATTACAGAATATTATAATTCAAATTTGTAGACGAAAACAAAAAAAATGTAAATAATTATTATTATACACTTCATAGATTTTTATTTTTTTCTTGCATATATCAGTTTTTCTCGCAAGCTCGAAAAACAAAATATAGTGATCCGGTTTTTTCTCGCAAGCCTTCACTAAAGTGAAGTAACTTTATTTTTTGACTTTGAGCAAGAATTGCGAAAAGTCAGTGGTAAATATTAATATATAAATTACATTACTCAATTGTGATTTCAAGAATAGCATTAGGAAAACGGTGGACAACTATTGAGACCACATCAATTTTTCTAGTTGCCGAGGTGGGATACCATGTCACCAGGGCGCAGTAATTGTCAAAATATTCCACGAACGTTTTTTAATGAATTTGCTACTCCCAGATATTCACATAATTCAGGGTAATCGAACATGCCTATGACTCTATCTTGTTTTATATTTTTAACAGTAATAAAGTCAGTTGCCTGATCATATATGTGCCCATATTTATCTGGATTGCATAGTAGCATATACTGTGTAGGGCAAGTAGTAAACTTACCTATTGCCTTGCACTGATTATTTTTTGATTTCTTAGCCATTACCACTTAGCTTTGTCTGGTTTAATTAATCTTTTTTTTTTCTCTAACTATTTTTCTTTAATATTTATATTAACGGAGAATATCATTATTCAAATTTATATAGGTCCATCATTGAAATTATGAATTAGCCAAGGCATTTTTTTCCTTCCGCTTCTGCCTCACCTCTATTTCCTTCTGTAGGTTT